ATAACTCTTCAAATGGTATTGACGAGTATATCCTCCTGTGAGGATGGAACGCAATTCTCATATTTCTGTTACTTTCGAGGATCTATGCAGTTGGATTGCATGTATTAAAAGTTGAAGTTAATGCCTAGTAAATCCATCATCTTTCTCTTTACCGAGTGAAACATCGGCCTCTTTCCTAGAGGTTTCAGGCGAGGTGTTGTTGTTTTATGGAGTGAAATCCCTAACCTCATGAACAAACTCCTCTCCTTCTGAGCTCAATACTTGATTATAAACAAGACAAAGCAACATCTAGGAGTTCGTCAACCAGGAATCGAACCTAGACAACTCATATGACCAGTGGGGATTCCTAATGTAGGAGTAGAATTTGGGAAATGTACTACAATATAATTTCATACTAGATAATTGTCTTTTCGACATAACACACTGTGATACAATATTGACAACTGGATGATATTTTGGGAACAGTTTATTGCTCATCATCATCATCATCGTCATCAGCAGCAGCATCATGTATTCACACGACTTCATAACTTGCTTTACATCGATTTTGAATCCGTTTTGCTTCTCAGTGTAATTTTCCATCTATCTACCCTGGTATGCATGGTGTTGAGTCATCCCTGTCGCATGTATTCAGTAGTGACTGGGTGGACGGATATTTGGTGTGTAAAATACTCAAGTGACGTAATCTGAAAAGACATTGATCAGCAAATCTACTCACTTCGTAACATCTCATGGTGACCATGCAGTTAGACAGTGTTTCGAGAGGTCAGGTCATGGGAATGTCGACAAAGGTCAGTTGTTATTTTAATGTCACCTGGCAACAAGACCTGTGAAATTACACATCGAAATAAGTGATGAATAAATACGACAGTTAGTTAAGCGGTCAATCTTACGTAATCTGTAAACAGCGAGTGATGAATATTAGTCAGAAATGATTGTCTTTGAAACTGTGAGCACTTGGAAACAGGAATATTGTTCATGAGTGTAGGAGATTCATGGTGTGTGTGTGTGTGTCTGAGTGATGTGTATTTTGATGTTAGGAGTTATGGTGTGAGGTGGAAGGTGAATCACGAATGAGTATGAATTAGAATATTTATTAATTATTTATTTTCATGGCTTTAATGGTCAGCGACTATATAATCCTGTAATCCTACTAAATTAGCCATTGGGTCTCAGTTATAATAAATACCTCTAATAGCTCAGTTACCCTCGGACTTGTTCTTTTATCAGCAGATTTTCCAAACGTCGTCCTGAGTTCACCCTGCAGAGGAGGTACACTTAGCAAATGTTACCTGAATATTTATAGGAGCTTTTATTGTTCGTCTGCGTGAAAAAAGGTGGATTGGGAGATATTTCCTCTATCGAAAGGTTTATTAGTAGGAATCTCTTTTTTTTTAAAGTCTGATTATTGAGTTTGTTGTAACTTATTTAGTCTTGTTCTCTTGGTGAGTTAATGTGCAAATTGTTAATCTGATTTATGGTATCACCAGTTCACTCAATTAGCTAGCCAGATATCATATGGTTTGAACTGATTCGGCTCTGTGGGTTGAACTAAACAGGGTACACTTTTAATGATCTCAGTCCCAAATTAGTGGAACTGCCGTCCGGTGTTTAGATTATCTAAATCTGACTAGCGATCACGACTGGTTATATATCAACGGTATACATCTATTCATCCCGATCAATCAGCGGAATATAGTTTTTCGAGTTTATGCTTGATTTTTGGATTACCATTTATAGTGGTTTCAAGGTTCCAATGGAAAATGTGATGAGTTTTCCCTTCTTTGAACTGTATAAACTGCAAATTGAGAACTAATTTGCAAATTGTTTCTTCTGATGTATTAATTCTGTCGTGTAAGTATAAGACCTCAGTACTGCTGTATATTATATAAACAGAGGTTGATTACTTGATTTCTGCCTATCAGATCAACACCCCAGACATGCAAATTAGTATACGCAATGCCGGCACCAAAGTTAAAGATGATAGTACCACCGAAATCAAACAGTCATAAAAAAAATAAAACTACTTAACAGAATTCGGGAAATTCTTTGAGTTTCTTAATAAAATTATGAGTAATAAAATATGCTCCAAAAGTTATAGGTAAATTATACTGCGTCACTATACGCTATACTGAATTAACTGACACTTGGAATTCTGCTGTATTTCTTGTCCTTTTACTGACGTAGTCGATGAAGGTGCAGAATAGCGATATATTTTCCCCCAGTTGAGCGCCTAAAAATCCCACTGGTGATGTCTGTGGCTGAACCACTAGGTTTGAGAGATTTGAATCTAGGAGAGGATGCCATTTTCTCTGACGTAGCAGGTACAGCTATCTAACCAATGCCAATAGGCTTAGACGTAAGTCCAAAGATTCCTGAAATTGCGTGTGACCGCCTAACATGTCCCTAGCAGATCGTGAAAATGATGAATATTAGGATTTTAGCTAATCGTCCTTAAAAGAGAGCTGAAATCATTGTATTTTTACTCCCAAAGCTATTTTTTTTCCAGTTAAAACGAAGAAAAATATTACAGTGTCACAATATATGTTATATCAAGATTTTTTTTCAGTTATGAAATACCATCTAGTTTGCTTATTGAGGTTAAAATAGTATATATCAGTCGTAATTAGCTTTTGCAACTGGTCTACAACAAGTCACATATATGGGTTTTTTTCTTTATGAAACTCATCGTTGCTTGCAAATTCTATTCGACTATTTCTGGATTCAGCATGTTCACATAAGAATTGCCACAATATTCGTACTAATAAGTACATGGTGATTTGGATATCTTCACTACTTTTGACTAAATACTGATGAATAGAACCAGTTGTGTCGCTAGATGTACAGGCGATTATTTATGACAAATATCAAGTAGCCCTAAGTAAAATATATCAATGCAAATCTCTCAAACGGATCATGCGTATAAGAGCACTCAGTAATTCCAGAATAGTGTAATTTTAATTATTAAATGGTATGCTGCATCTCAGCGTGTTTTGTCTGTCTCGAAATTGTTTATTAAGTTGATCAGCTTCGACCTCTACAAGAATGAAGTAATATTCAAGCTTAAATAATCCCAACTGAATTTTGACATTTAAAACGAATAGAGAAAAATATAGCAGAGAGCTGTTATGTTCATAGTATGTGATGTCACTTCTCACTGCTCTCATCTGTTTAAAGTACTTACTGTTTAATGACATTAGATGGTTGGAAGCAATCGACAGGAAGCCTTGGACCTAGGTAAGTACTTTGTTTGGACGCTAGTAACTAGTGTGATGTGTCTAGTCCCTTCTTTGGTGTAGACTGAATTTTGTTAGTCAGGTTTGCAGTGTGGACACCATTCTAGGTAGCTCCTCATCACGGTGTACATTGATTTGATGACATTAGATGGTTGGAAGCAATCGACAGGAAGCCTTGGACCTAGGTATCGTGCAAGTTGGCACTCGTCAGTAAGGCGTATCTGCAAGGTTCCTTCAAGGTTGCAGATACGCCTTACTGACGAGTGCCAACTTGCACGATACCTAGGTCCAAGGCTTCCTGTCGATTGCTTCCAACCATCTAATGTCATCAAATCAATGTACACCGTGATGAGGAGCTACCTAGAATGGTGTCCACACTGCAAACCTGACTAACAAAATTCAGTCTACACCAAAGAAGGGACTAGACACATCACACTAGTTACTAGCGTCCAAGCAAAGTACTTACTGTTTACTCTTTATTTTCAATAAGGACTACTGATTATCATAATTTTGAGTATTACTTATGATGTATTTAAGCAGAAATATTATTTTTGCAGTTTGAGCCATATCATTCCTGATTTAAAAGAATACGGCCTATATTAAGCCACCGAATTACTTTATTATGTGTATTACTGCTGTTGAACATGATGCTCATTTTAACCTCTTTGATAGATTTGAGCTAATTGTACAGTCAAACGAAGTAATCAGCTATACATTAGGTACTCATAACAGACTAATTTCAAGTTATTTACAAAATTGCTGATAGGTATACACATAACACTCAACTGGTTTGAATGTACAGACTTGATATTGTGCCTAGTACCAATAAATATCTATAAAGTTTAATAAGTTATATATCAGTTGAATTAACTATTCACATATATTATACGGTCTGTTCCAAAGCGTTGTCCGAATTCTCTTGCCAAAGTCCTGTATGTGTACAGCAGATCGTCATAATGCAATTCTGATCATCCAGTTATAAAATTGCATACGACAGCGACTGATATTCATTCGAGACTAATTCATAAATAAAAACCACAAAGACTATAAGTGGGAACTAAAGGAGATCAAAAAAGTATATCATCGTCGTCTGAGGTCCATCAGAGGTGAGGAACCACAGAACCGTCAAGTCTTGATGCAAGCATTTTTCTATATAGATACTTTCGATTGGTAACGGATGAAAGAATTGACAGGGACCTTTAGATCCAAGAAACTTTCTGAAATATCAGTCAAAATTTTAAGTAGATCTATGGCTTCTTGTCAGTTCCATATAAATAATGACTCTTTAGAATTAATAGGAGGAAGCTTCCATGCGGTTATGTTTTTTGTTTCACCTTGAATAATCTTCGTAAACTGAAAATAATTCCCTCTACAAAACAATGAAGTATAACTGTGGCAAGCACATTAACTAAGCATAGAAATTATTTAAAGTTTACTCGTCTATAATGAAATCAAATTTCATTTTGTACAGTTTAGTAACATGAAATTTCTAATTTCTCCCCCATTTTTTGGATAGCAAGACAGCAGTTAGTCATAATCATATAATTTGTTGCTTAGTTGTCAGTTAGTAAAATTTATTAGGCCAACAGTCCTAGCATTAGGAACAGACCAATCATTTCGAGCTACTGTAATGAAATAACCAATGAAAATTAATGAAATGTTTTTCTGAACCAATAGTCTTATGGCCCATGACAGGGGACTGTAGGGTTCGATAAATTCATCGATTCACTATAAACTCTATTCTTTATGTTAATATTGTAGAGAGGGGACTAAGGTACACATTCGCTACAATAGCGAACTTAAATGTTTCGACCATTTCATTGGTTTCATTTCAAGAATGAATAAAAAAAAGATATAACTTGGCCAAACCACACACCTATTTGCCTGCCCCGTCCGACTTATAATTTTGGTCGGATGTCTACCTCTCAGCTACAGTTTGCCAATGTTCGATACTGGTGCGAATGTGGGGGCAGAAAGTGGGTAGGGGGGTGTATGTCATACAAACATGCACTCGTCAACTTCGCTTCACCACTTTAAAACGAAAAAACTATCTGGATAGAGAGGAAGAGTGAGTTGAAATTTATTAACTAACCAGATAATATTTTCTGCATAATTTAAAAGTCGGAGAGACATTCCATTGCTTTCGTCTGTAACATTAACAATTTTTAGTTCATGCACATTATTTGATGAATTATACACCATTATAAGTATAACAGTCATTTAAGAAAATATATTCTAATGATTGAATCTCAAATTCTATTTCCACTAATGACAATCCAAGGAAATCAGCTGGATGATACTGCGAATATGGATGAATCAACTGATAATGAAAATTACAACGGAGATTCGCGTGAGAATGCAGATGAAGATAACGTATCCTTTGTATCGAATGATTTAATCCTCCAACCAAACCAGCAACAAGAAGAAGAACACAACGGCTGTCAAGAGCAGCAACACTCTAGTGTTCACAATAACCACCGGCAACAACAAAGTTCCCCTTTTACAGTTGAGAAAAATATGGATCAAGAGTGCACTGAACTGCAGAAAAACAGCAGTTATAATATTCATAACTCACATGAAAATACTCCTAATTTAAATGAAGTAAAGATTGATGAAGATGAAGTAACGAACAAAGAGGATATTCCCATGAATACTTATCTGACAAATGGTAATCAACAGTCCAAAGACATTCATTCCAACGGTTATCAACAAGAACAACAGCAACAAAAAATGAGCAGATTACCTGGTACTACTACTAAAGCCTGTGCTAAAAAATCATTCGTGTGGAAATATTTTCACCATCCTGAAATCAAGCATGGTATACCAGATCGCAGTCGTACACAGTGTATCCTCTGCGATAGTCAGCTAGCTTTCAATGCTTCTGGGACAACTACTACAATGTTAAATCATTTAAAAAGTCGTCATGGAGAAGTCGCTGAACAAGAAGAGAATCTACGCCGATTTAATCGGGATTCAAGGAAGAATCAATTGCGTAATATGATTTTATCATCGAATGATAAAACACCACCGACTAGTCCAAATACTGGTAATACAATGCTGAAAAATAATGAAATGGTCAATTCATTGAATGAAAATGTACAGACAACACGTAATTTACTGATGAACAATGCTAGTGGCAATAATAAATACAGTCGTGGTACTTTATCAGTTGGTCAGCGTGGCAGACCACCTGGTTCAGGAAGAAGACAGAAGTCTACACATTGTTCGAAAACAAGTGATCATGGGGACTTTTTAACGCAAGACACTATGTCTAATGGCAACTTGAAGTCGGACGGAAACCCAGCGTATCCTCTTGTAAGTATTTACTTGTTTTGTTTATGAAGTTTTCTATTTTTCATCTGAAAACATTTTGCATAGTTATAAATTGTCTTATCTACATTTGATATGGATTTCTAATTTTTGATAACTTCCAGTCAATATAAGGTTGGAGCCGTCGGTGCTACATTAGTATACGACATTGTTTCCTTGCTATTAACACTATCTGATTTACTGATTGCTGATGGGGTTGGTAAATGAAATTAAAATCTAACACATAGCACATCAGAGATTAATGATTAGAATTTCGCTTTAACCCTGGTTTCAATTTTAGCAACAATGTTAATTGCTTTACATTTCTATGTCAATTAATTTGCTCAACATCTTTTTCTTTTTTTATCCTTCACGTTCCCCAGTGGAACATAGGGCTTCAGGCTAGTGGCTTGAAGATTCTGTAGCAGTGTTTGTTTTACAGGATGGGGTTGCTAGCCTCATGCCCAACCTTTCATCTTCACCAGCATTATTTCTGGCTTAGCGAGGTAAAGGAGTGCGTCGGCCGGGGATCGAACCCGAGACCATGTGCATGGTCGACGAGCGTCCTCAACATCTAGAAAAGCAAAATGTCTTGAATACAATTCACTATTGATAAATCTAACAACTACTCACAGTTTAACAGAATACCTACGACTTAGATCTCAACGGCATCACAAAATAGATCCTATAGGAAGGAATTTGATATCCTACATAATCTTAAAAAATACTTTCATACTGCTACTGATGTAATAAGACTGACTGAATGAATGAATAGTGCGTCGGTGGCATAAGGTTTAGCATGCTCGGCGACCAAGCACATGGTCCAGGGTTCGATCCCTGGCCGACCCACTCCTTTACCTCGCTAAGCCAGGAATAAAGAAAGCTGGTAAAGTGGGAAGGTTGGGCATGTGGCCAATAACCCCATCCTGTAGAAATAAACACTGTTACAGAAACTTCAGGCTTCTAGCTTGAAGCCTTATTTTCCTCTGGGAACGTGAAGGAATAAAGAAAAAAGAATGAATAGGTCAGTTTTTAGTTAATAAATAGAAATCAGGACACTTGGCACATTATTTATTTCAGTCATGTAGAAGGGCTTAAAAGAGTTTTCAGGTATATAATTTCATACCCATCTTCAATGTTTATCAACTTTCCTACGAAAATCAGTTTTACTGGTCCTTACTTTAACAAAGCTCCTTAGAATTATTGTGCAAGCCATCATGGAGATCGTTTTGACAGGGAGGAACAAGATAATGCCTGTTTGTCAACTGACTCCCAACTTTAACAACCATAGTAACTCTGTTCTAATAATTCCACTCTGAGCCACTATTTGTCACACAACAGTAGTGAATGTTGCCTGAAATTCTTACTCAGTCCTTTGCCTCCTTATCTCTCAGGTGGGTGTATGAGGATTTCTAACTTGTAATGTCAATTGATGTAATTGAAAATGTTTGGGCCATACTTTTAGAAATTGTTATTGCGTCGGTGGCACAGCGGTAGAATGCTCGCCGACCACGTATGTTGTCCGGGGTTCGATCCCCGGCCGACGCACTCCTTTACCTCGCTTATCTAGTACATAAGATTGGTAAAGAGGGAAGGTTGGGCATGAGGCTATCAGCCTCATCCCGTAAAAATAAACAGCATTGCTACAGAAAATTCAGGTCTCTAGCTTGAAGCCCTTGAAGTTCAACTGGGAACTTAAATAATAGTAATACACGATTTCCATACTGATCTGAATAGGAGTTTCAGGAATAATACCTAATAGTGTTGCCAGGAAACAGCCATATGTAGTGCTGTATTTCATTGGCATTTGGTAATAGGATCTATGTGGAAATGACGTACTGTTGACATTGGCTTCCTTTTCATGTAACTAAATCTGTCATTTATTCATTAATTTTGTCGAGTATTCAGTGTAGTATCAGTTCAACATTTAAATGAAAACCAATCTGAATAATATTAGCCAATCAAACTTCTATATCCATATGTATAACAATTCCTTGTGTAGGAGGATTGCTGCTCCTTATTTTTGTAAATTAAACTATCTCCCAACGCTGATGTTATCATATCATATTAATATTCCCTTGGATTCCGAGTAGAACGTGGGGCTCCAACAGTACTTCTCCATTTCATTATGTTATCAGCAACCCTTTACAGCTGGCTCCATAATAGCCGATAAATCTTTGTCACTTCATATGATCTTAATTTCACCTTTGGACTGACAGCCAAGTCGTCGTTTCCCGTTCAGGCTCCACTTGAGCGCCAGGTGAGTGACATCACTCGGTGGTCTCCTCAGTTTCTCTCCACTCCATCTTTATTTTCTCTTTTGCGTTCTTGGTTGATTCGTTGCCAGGTCCCCTGACTTTGATATATTCCCAGTGCAGAGAGATACATCTTAGTTATGTGTGATAACGCCGTATGCATTAGAACGATGTAAGCATAAAATCGTGCATTCACTGTTGAAAAAATCTCGATAATTTTGGGATTAGATAAAGCTCAGGTTATCTAGAATATTTTGCTCTAAATGCAACATCACGATGTATACTTAACAAAAGAAACACTTTAATTACAATCCAATGGAAATATCTGAGGATAAATCTTCGTTGATCTCCGTCCAAGGACTGATTGATATATAGAACTTGAGTTATATAAGAGGGTGTTTAATTCAATATTAGTTTGTTTATTAGATATATCACACAGTGAAACAGTATTATTTACTATCACAGTGCCCAAGTTTTACATATATATTAATAAGAGGGTGTTTACATTTGTTAATTTTGACAGATTGCAGGACTATGGTCCGATTAATCAGCTTTAAAGATGAAATTCACTTTTAGTGAGATTGCCGAGTTATCTGACTTTCAACTTTAAAAATAATAAATGAACTTACAGTGTGTTGGTACAGACAAGTGAATATCAGAAAGAAAACACTAATTCCATTTTCAAACCATCATCTGTACTGAAGTATTGGGTGCATCATCATAAGCAGAGTAGCATAAGCCTTTCAGAACTTCAATTAGTTCCTTATAAAGAAATTTTTAGCGTTGAGGCACCGAAGATATTCAAATGTTCTAAAATGGACAAGATTACACCGAAGCATCGAACACGCGCCATTGACTTTGAAAAGTCAGTTACATATTCCATCACATTAACTAGTAAGGAGAATAATCCGTATTTTATACATTTATTTCCCTTTATGAATTTTTTGATAAAGCAAGAACAACAACTTTTGCAGAATAAAATGGTACTGCTTTGGCTTATCGTCAGTTGCTTACAGCCTGAAGAATTATTAAGTTTATGTACAGAACCAATTTTATCATATTTACATAGAGTTCATTTAAAAAAAAAATCAATATGTGCACGCAATACTACTACTAATAATAATCATTTTATCCCATACAACAATAATAGCTATACACAATGGAATATTTTTGGCGTAACGTAATCGAATGAAAGAGAGAGTAAAGACATTCAGTTTCCAGGACAAGGAATTGATATTTCATATTTCTCTTATTTTGAGATTTGTTCATGTTTAATTATTTTAGCATACTTATGTGAAAGGAAAGAGTATAATTTCGCTGAACTATCAATAAATGCGATCTGTTAAGTAGAGTTTCCAGATACTAACGTAGTTATAAATATGGTGTTAAAATTCAACAACCTACTGTGTAACATGCTGAGTACATTTAGTTCACACTGAGATAATCTAAGCATTGAATTTGTTATTCGAAGTTGTACAGCTGAATTTCTACGCAAACCAGTTTACTGCCTACTAAGGGAATATTAATAACTCATGATCTATAGATTAAAAAAAACTAAGTGATTTTTGTCCAAAAGCTAAATTATTGTGCTCATTAAATCAAAACACGTGTGTGACTTAAATCCAGTAATAAGGGATTGAAGGCTACTTCGGCTACAATCTAGTGACCGATTTGTGTACATTAATATAGAGGATATGTATTTGATACCCAACTTAAAATACTACTACTACTAATAATAATAATAATAGTACTACTATTATTCATCCTTTGCATTCCAATATATATATTTAGAAAGGGTCAGAAAAAAGGACGTTCAAAACCGACTGAGATTAAAAGACTGTTATCCCACTCTTCTTAACTGATAACAAGGTTTCAATCGGAATTAAACTGACCTCCTTCCTATATGTGGGAAAATAATTCCTTATGAATTTATAATTTCCACAGCATCTGCTCCATATCTTATTTGATTTATTTCAAATGGTTCATGTTATCTTGGTTGATGACCTTTACACGATTGATATTTCTAAAGATCTGTATATTGTGGTTATCACCTTTAACCTTTCTTACGATCATTATTAACATAATGTTAGGCATTATCTGATATGTTTTACATAATACTTGTTACTTGTCAAGCTATTAATACAAGATAAGGGTCAATACATGAACAGATGGATTATTTATTTCCATCATGACTGGAAATATTAACAGTCATAAATAGTCATAAAATTCATCATTTGGTCATGTATACCATCTTTAATTTTGTTAGTAATATTGAAAAGAAAAATGCTTTAGTATACGCATTGCTTTGAAGAGCATCGACCAGTTATTTGTAATCATCTGAATATTAAGTAATTAGAAAATGTTGATGCAAATATTCTTTGGTCTCTCTAGAAAACGAGTACTTTTTTTATTGCTCACACAGTCCAATTCATAAATCTGTATGCTGATACAGAGTTCCCTGATACAGTTGTGGATTGAATCAACTGTACTTTCTTATTTCTGATTCAGCATGTCATTAAGTGTTTGTAGTATGTTGGAATCTCATACACTGCTAAAGATCTGAGGTAGTACTTTAGAACTGTCATCACCACTTACATTTCATAAGTAGAATATATATTTGTAAAATATCAGATAAATGTTAAGACAGAATTTCTACTTTCATAAACCATTTCGAAGCCTAAATATTCAGAACACTTGAAATTCAACATTTAATGTTGAAAAGAACTTCACTGGCGCTTGTGAAATTTGTCAGACATTTGGAATGATTGACTTAGAGCTTATTTATGTCGTACGTATTTGCTACTACAGAGCTTCATTGTTAGATATTGACGGCGCACAGAACCGCTTCCTGAGTTTCACTTGATCTACGTCATAATAACCAAAAACTCATCTTTTATTTACGATGTTAAAAGTAGTGTCAAACAGGTAATATTTTATAAATCCTACTGATCCATGAACAGTCCCTGAGTGTTTCAATCTACAGGCAGAGGCACAATTTGCCCTGAAGAATGAATCCTATATTTCATAAAATACTTAGAATTATAAGTATCCAGATAGTAGATGTTACGAATTTCCTGGAATAATTTAAGCGCTGAGTTAGACTGAATCATTAAAAATTAAGGGATTAATCACAAGTTGACATCAGTTAGAGAACCATTGGAAAACCTGGGAGTACCAGACAGCTATTTCATCCTAGTTTGGAACTCTTCATCAGCACGCACCCACCGAAAGGGTTCGAACACAGGACCTTCCGGCTACAAGGCGAGTTCGTAGACCGTCAAGCCACGGGGTCCTAGAATTCTAACCTGCCAGTATGCGATATATATTTAGCGCAAGCGTCAGCCAGTGTCACGGATGAGTAATTGTCCTCTTGCCTGACTTGGTGGACCCTACTAGCTACGACTTCTCACATTAACGACCAAGTCAGGCAAGAGGACAGTCAGGACCCAATAGCTTGATGGTCTACGAACTCGCCTTGTAGCCGGAAGGTCCTGGTTTCGAAGCCTGGGTTTGGGTGAGTGCTGATGAAGAGTCCCAAACTAGGACGAAATAGCTGTCTGGTACTCCCAGGTTTTCCGATGGTTCTCTAACTGATGTCAGCTCGTTATCAATCCTGTAAACAATGAAATCCATGCAAACCAACACTTGATCATTATAATTTATTTAAAACAATCCCAGTGTTTAAGAAAAAATCAAAACAAAAGATTTATAACGACTTATGACTTTAGTTCTCCGGATGACACATACAGAAAACAATAACTACTAATAATAACTGTTATTATTCCAATTACTCTGAGGTGAAGTATTTTATTATCAAGTCACTTTAGAATTAAGGTTATATTTTAACTAAGGTTAAATGTTCTTACATTTAAGTAGACAAACAGACACATGCATACAAGTGGTGATCACCAGAAACGTACATTCACTCAGTCTACTAATATAGCCATATATCAAAAGCATTATGAATTACAGAGATGACAGTAATCACCATCTTTCTTCACTGTATATTTAAAAATAAATGGATTTTTAAATGATTTGAAAACTACGAAAAACAACCCATAAAATCATCTATCAAAATTCATAAAAAATTTTCGTATTCCGTAAAATATTGAGAGAGAAAAATACGATGATCAAAAATAAATTATCTTCATAAATATTCTATAGTAGTGGGTTATTCTGTGTAAGCTAACTTTGGATAAGTCTATTCTAGCTAAACACAATCATATAAACAAATAAAGTGATAGCACTTACCATTCCACTCTATCCTACCTCTTATTCTCTATTTTTTGTCACTTCACATTTAAAAGGTGACCGTAATGGTATTTGCAATTTCAATTTTCAAACCAACTTTTCACTTCATCCACCATCACCATCACCACCACCACCACTACCTCCTCCTCCTCCTCCTTTTCCCCGTCACGTGAAGAATCAACACGATCCGTTTATTCGATTGGATATAGTGTATCATAAATGACAGTTTTATAAAGATATAAATACTTTCATTCGAACCATACACCGTGTGTTTAACATGTTCAAAGGTATATGGACTTTTGACCTGTAAGTAAACAATGTTTATAACTTCGATATATGACCACATTTACCCACAGCTGGGAATGACATTTTAAAACGGGATTTGGACACAAGTGAAAGGTTTCCTAGTTCAGTTTTGGTCAACTACGTGAATGCTAACGATGGTATTGATTTTCAAACTTTAATCATATAACCCTTTGTGTTTTATAGCTACATATATACATATGACTCATTATTATTTATCCTGTTTCAATGATAGAATAACCTGAATCCTTTTTACGTGCTTAAACATGCTTTCCACTTAGACCAATAAGGCATACACGATCGTACACATTAGATTGTAGATTCACTGTTTTTGGCATTTTTAGCTAAGGTATGTATGGATTGATCGAATCATTCCAGGCTACATTTTTATTGATTTCACTTGAAATACACCCTGAAGTACTAAAGATACTTTAAAGTTACTCACATTTCAACTACAATTTAAGTATAATCAGAATGTGTTGTCCGCTTGTTTCACTATTGAACGATTTTACCTACTCAGATGAAGAAATATTCGTTAATTCATTGCATTTCTAAAGAAGAATACAGCACAACACTGATAAGTAGTCGAAAAATGACGCTGAATGGCAGAGTTTTGTGTCTGGCATTCAGGGTATAGTTTATTAGACAACGAGTATCATATGAGAGACTGTACCTAAGTAAGCATGTTATCTTCAATCACTTAGCATATTAAGAGAGATATCCTTAATAATTTAGAGCATCATGTAAGTCAAGATGAAACATCTCGGTACTTGTCATTTGCCCATGTGGTTACTTGATGGGCTGTTGCTTGTGAAGACTGTCCCTCCACCAGTCAGTTCTGAAAAGCAATGCACGCTTTAAGCAAACTACAAAAACCAACATTTTTTTTCAGTCATCAAGCCATTGTACCATATCGCAAATAAGTATGACATATCCATTTAGCTGGTAAAAATTCAGTTTAACCTTGAGATAGATATAAGTTAATAATTCCGGTCCATATGTAACCGTATAAAACTTAAGATGTTTGAAGTTTTTTCTCATAATGAAACAATCATTGACAAGATGTTTTTTTCTTCTAATTCAATATGTAGAGCATTCCACAAAATTATTACCATTGTCAGTATTACTAATATTATTATTATCATTATTTTTGTTATTTTGTTTATTAACCATAATGTGTTAAACATATGAATAAGGTACACCAATAACGGAAATGCATTTCAGATAGTTATACTATGAATTCTTTTAGCAGAAAAAAAGAATGAGTTGTACTACCATTTTTAATTCACAATACAACCAAAAATTTTTGCATATACTTGTTTTCTCCCAATGATAATATCACTAAAGGATATATAGTACAATAGAAAATTCAGCTGACTTTCGAAACCAAAATTCTCACAGGCGTTGAAAGAAAGGTAAGGAGAAAGCGATAAAGGGTGTGGGCGAAAAGGGAATAAAGAAGGGGGAGAGCTTAGTAGGCAAAATGAGAGGAGACAACAGGAGATGATAGGTGGTGGTGGAATACAAGTAATGAGGTCAAACGATGAATAGTCTTTTCTTCAGACGTCTATTTCCGACTTAACCAGACTGCCTATTCTTTAAAGAGAGAGAGAGAGTCACAGAGAAAAACTTAAAACAAAGATCTATTCATAAATAAATTTACTTCCACCGGAAACTTCTGTCTCTTTTTCCAAACCCTGATAGACAAGAAAAGATTGAAATCGCGGATGTAAACCACACATCACTTGTTCGTTTATTTCAGTCACTATAACCACATGAAAAACTGTCGGTTATCTAAGGACGCTAGTGTAAGACGAAAGTATCACACTTCACTGACTAATCAAATTCTTAATTGCCTACCACTATTTGTCTCTAGCGCATATGACAATGAAATCCGTTTTCATAATGTGTGAAAATGACCGAATTAGAATATGTCTTAGTACAACAGTTTTATAATTACTTCAGAGTTAACTGTAGGACTTCCCGTTTTTTATTTTAAATGATGTCTGCACCAGTTCCATTTTGTCTAAGTTACTTAATATCTTCTAGCCTTAGCTAACCACCATTATTTCTTCCATATTTCTAGGAAGTATCAATAAAATGATCAAAATGTTTTTTCTTTCTAGTGAATCCCTTATAGTTTAATACGTAAAGAGAAAGCGAATATTATTAAGGTACATAAGAGAAAGAAATAATAATCGCATAACAGTTAAGAAGAACAGTATCTTTGTGAAAAATGACAATTTTATGCACACTTCAGTCTTAGAGAATTTCACTAGTCACCAGATATCAATTTACGCCTACAAGGAGAGTTACTGGTTACACTTTATGAGATCTTTGCTAAGATAAACATTACCCAAATTGGTCCATTATTGTACAGAGGAGATGACTCTGAAAAAGAACAGTATTTAATGCCATTTGGAATGTCACTATAATGCCTAATTAAACAGTCACTAGTTTTATTTCACTTACCAAGTAATTTATTTTAGCGTTGTATGCTAGCTTGACAAATGGCTGCTCTTATACTTTATTGTTTTAACTGCTGTTGATTTAAATGGACATAAAAGTGGAACAAGTGATAATTAGAACATATGGTACAGTTTCAGCTGATAGATGCTAATATTATATTTAAATGAATCTCAAAGTTTCGAGATTGTGGAAAGCTCAGTAGAATGAAGATGATACTATTCCCTATCTTTTATTTAGTGTATTCATATTATTCCTTAGCGTCCCCTGTGGACTATAGGACTTCAGGCTTGAGCTTTGAGGTTTCAGTAGCTGAAACGCTTTGTTTACGGCGTGGGGTGGGGCTGCTAGCTTCACACCCAACCTCCTCTCTTCAGCACGCTTACTACTGGCTAAGAGACGCTTAGGAGTGCGCCGGCCAGCAATCTACAGAGGATCACGTGTGTGGTTGGCCAGCATTTTACCACTGAACCACTTTGATTACTGTAATTAATAGTATCCTAACTACTCCGTAGAAGTGGTCTTTCTATTGATCCAAGATATCGAATCTATCCATAAGTTTGCTGATTTTTCTTTACTTTGCAATCTTGTTTATATAAAGTAGACTACCGACTAATTTTCCACTTTTTTGTTTAAAAATATTTTTATAGACAAATTATCAAGGAATATTGTCTGACCAGCAGAAAGCCTTTTTAAACGAGGTTCTACTTTCCGCTGCTGCTGCATCGGCATCAACAGCTAGTTTACCAAGAGGTGATAATCGAATAATGAATGCGGGCTTCATAAATCAAACTTCGTCACCATCAGCAGCTTCTTCACCACCATTTTTCGCATCATCTACGCAGCCAACACAGATAACTACTGAATCAGTTTCAACGAAATCGCCATTCACGTTTTTAAACGGCATGACTGGATTCCCCAATATTCCATTTCATTTACCTATGAATACACCACAAATTAGCTGTACAACTGGAGCAACAACTACAACAACTCATGAATTATCACCCTCCTCCAGTTCTGGTTTAGGTTTGAGTAGTGTAAACAGTCCATTTGAAACACCAACTACTGCAAATACTACTATACCTAATGGTGTCCTCATGTCATCGTCTTCATCTTCTTCCCCGAGTAATTCCATAGGATATCGAAGTATTACGTCACCAGCTGGCTGTGGAGGACAGCCAAATGTTAACTCACAAAATAACCTTGCAGTAAACCCACGAACTTTGCATAAACCTAAAGAATGTAGTCATATGGGCGATAATCACTTACAAACGAATAATATTCTTATGAATGGACAGTCGTTTAATCTTGCTGATCACTGCATCAGTGGCAGTCAAGATGCTAACAACTTGGCAATGAATATGCAAAATGTAACCCAAGACAGAGAAAAAGTTCTGGATTTTAAAAATGAAAATAATGAGAATATATTTGACCTTACGCATGCAAATAAAATCATCAACCCTTCAACCACGCAGTCAACAGGCACCAATGCAAACAATGTAAACTCATCATCAATGCTAGATTGTTCACCAGAAATGATGATGTCAGCTTTCGGAAATTTCGTCAATTTAATTCCGTCAGTTAATAATTTATTAAACGAAAATACTACTAATAACATTATAAACAGTAGTGTGAATGATGCAACAACAATAAGTCGATCAGAGGGAACGAACATATCAAGTCACTCCACTTCTAGTCATTTGCAGCAGGCTATGATACACTCAATGTCACCACCACAACAGCAACATCAACAACTGTTGATGGCTAATGCATGGCTGGCAAGTCTTGCGAATGGAAAGTTTCCGAACTATCCAAACAATCTAGTCGATCCATGCGTAATGTTCAACTTGTTAAATTTAAATGCTCATACGATGGGAAATGGGTTTAACAGACTGCCTAGTGTTCCAGCTATTACTTCAGCGGACTCAAACTGTTCAGAAAGCTTGAAGTTTAGAAGCAGTTCTGAATTCAACCCACCTATAAATTCATTTAGTTCTGATAATAGCTTTCCGATGAATTATCTGATGGCTAATCAGAATAAGAGAGTCAATGATGACACGATGATGAACTGGTCAAATACAGGCAGTTCAGTTTTAGCGATGCCTAACAGTGAAGTATTGAAAAATGAATCTTGTGTAGGAGGACTAAGTAAAATTGAAAATGTTTCTTCACCTTTCCAATTTAATGGTAACCTTGGGTCCACTGGGATGAGTCTAACAAGCAATCAGCAATCACAGCAACAAATCCGCAGGTCTATCCAAGATGGACAAAATACTAACCTGCCTTTACCAATATCGTTACCTGTAGGCGCAGTTGGAAACTACTCTGCAGCATCAGGAATTTCACTCAACGAGAATGACATCGGTAATGACCGTACCGGAGGTAATAATAATAACACCCCTTGCATGTTACCTAGTTTAACATATCAATCTATGGGACAAGATAAATTTTCTTATACAAATACAGCATCTCTTGTATCAAATGGAATGAATAAAGGACTACAAGTAAGGGGTCAAGAGGTGAATGAAGTCTCGTTAGATTTATCAAGAACTTCGAATACGAGTAACATTGATAACAACAATAATAATAATAACTTATGCAGTGCTAATTCACCATGCAATAATGCTATTAACTCAGGTTTATCAAAAAATGTTAACATGCAAGATGAGATGAATTGTGTACTAGATATGCGATCAAATAACCATTTCACTGATCCCAAATACTCATCTTCTCAGCAGGAAAGTTTAAGTCCAGCTTTGTCTTCTTCAGCCAACTATACAGTATCAACCAAGCGTAAACGTGCACGTCCTGTTTACATTTCACCAGAACAAGAATTAGTGAGTTTTCAATTGTTTACTTTGTCAATCACCCCTTTAATGGGTTTTCACCTTGACTACTTTTTTTTTCTGTCATCTATCTGGAAGAATATACCAGAGGTGAAAGTTTAAATTAACGCAAATGTTAATGAGTGTCGGTTGAACCATCTGGTTGATTGCTGTAAGAAGTATTTGAAAAAAACGCTGCAAAGCTCATAAAATTTACTAACTGATCTGAGAAAGAGATATGCCACACTTATTATTCACCCTCACTTCAATCACATAATTTTAGCTGAAGTAGGATAAGATTAAGTGAAATCTAAGGATAGTAAGAGCATGTGGAATAAATCTATGAATTTGCTAACTCAGAAAATATTATCTTTACAGATGTTTAATTCAAGAGAATAACATAACCTGAGATCAACTGTATTTATTCGAAATGCATTCAGGTCCTACTTCCTTTTAGATTATATTGTGATCATTTGTCCTTCTTCTTACATTTATTTTTTGTAGCTTGGAATAACTTTTGATCATGCAACTTTAATATATATATATATATATATATTGCTCTTCATCTCAGTTCTTACATTGATAAGGTCATTTAGGGATTTCAGGAATTGAGTTAACTCACACTTATAGTGCATTCTACAGCACTTTGTCTATTTGCGAGTTTCGTCCAAATAAGTTAATCCCTTATATAGAATAATGTCAGCTATACGGTTTTCGTTTGACCCACCTAATAATGGTATAAACATGATACCGAGAGAGGGAGAGAAATGCTTTGAAGAACTGGTACTGCTGAAATCATTTTTTACTAATCAAGATCCACAGACACAGAATGCTGGCTTCTATTGTATTCCAATATTTTGTACAAAAAGGAATTAAAATTATCCTTTAGTTTACGATGACGTCGGTGTATGGACCAACTGACCTTCATACCTAGTGATTAGCTTGTAGGAAGAAGTAAAAGTGTATGTAGAATGATAATATCTATGGTTTATCATTTAGCTGCTATTTAATTAAGAACTCATTTACTCACTGTCTTTACTTACTCTACTTAACTTTGTAGAAAATATTCCAAATGAGGTCACCAGCATATATAAATACTCAAATTTCAGTACAAATTTCATACGGTCGTAGTTCGATTTGCATTGTTTTTCACTTTTTTTAAAAAATATTCTGCAGAAACACTGCCCTACAGAATCTAACTCAACTCTGGAAGGGGAAGACATGAGGATGAAAAGATATCACATTGAAAATGTACATTATAACAATAATAGCAATGAAGTTTCACCTAATAATGATAAAAGGTCCTCCTGGAAATCCAAAAAGAACGTAGAAAATATACAAGAAAATGAGGAAAATGACAGCGATGAAGATCATAAGATGGCTACTAGTCAATCATCATCATCATCGTCAGCAGCAGCATTTTTAACATCAAATGTGAATGTGCAGGCGAAATTCGGAGCTAATGTTACACGCAATGAACTGTCTTATTATATTGCTCAATATTTAATCAAGGATTTGAAACCACTTGAAACGATTGAAGGTGAAGGATTTCGAGTAAGTTGTATTCAGGCTTTTAAATCAGTTCTCTAACTTTTTAAATGCCATAATATATGGCTGACTACCTGTAATCCTCAGTGTATCAGTATATATCAAGATGGATATTCACAGCTCATTTTATGGAAATTCTGTTAGTTTTTTTGTTGCCTTAGCTGAAATTTTCAGTCAAAACTGCAAATCAAGTAAACCTTTGTAATCAACAAGAGAAGTGAAGTAGAAAACACACATTTTTGTTACAGGATTCCCTCATGAGTTAATATTGGTTAGAGAACGAATGAGAAACCGGACAGCTGTTTCGTCTTAGTTTGGGAATCTTCATCAGTACGAACCCAGGACCTTCCGGTTGCAAGGCGAGCTCACAGACTTGATCCAATGGTCAACCCATGAATTCCAACTTCTGCCAATTGAAGATATAGGGCGACCACTTGGCAATGTCATCGGCGAGTATTTGTCCTCATTCCCGACCTGGTGACCCCTACTGGTAACGACTTCTCACCAGAACCCAGGTAACCCAGTGCGTCGGTGGCACAGTGGTTAGGACTCTCGCCGACCATGCACATGGTCCGGGGTTCGATTCCCTGCCGACGCACACCCGATATCTATGGTCGGCCTGTAAATTTGGGCTACCGATATCCATGCTGAAAATTCCATACTTGTACTGAAAATATGGTGTGGAATCAAGCTGTAATCAAAATAAATAAATAATAACTACCTACCTGAATAGTCGCCCGTCGCTGGAGTAGTAGGCATCACAGCCATTGACCTTTTGGGCTACCATCATATTACATTCTCTGGAAACTTATGAAAGACATTGACACATCATCCAAACGTATATGGGAATGCTACTCTGGATGAAGATGGAACTAGTCAGTAGGTGAAACGTAGAACATCTGCGTTTTTCTTGGTTCCTTTGGTGATATGGCTTAAGAGCCGAAGCGACTCGCCAATCAGTCTTTTTTCTCTTCACCAGCATACTGAAGCGAACAGTTTTCATATATATAACTGGAAGTTTTTATCTTTATCTGCTACTACTACTACTAGTAATAATAATTCATTGACACCACTGACTCTATGTATACTTCTTTGTGAGTAAAGTCTCAATTCATAGTGACTTCTAGGCACAGTTTAAGCTTATTTATATATCTCAGTTATCAACAGTTTAACTCCCCACTTTCTGAATGTAAACACTTTTCTGGATAATTTTATCACTTAGTAATTATCAAAGTATACACAATACACATGTCCTGATGACCTAAATTGATTTCGATTAATTATAAGAAAGTGGCTTTTTTAAACCTGTCTACCATATTAGCCAGTGTCCAGTCTGCGTACATCATATCTGTTAGCTGCCAGTATTCTAACTAAATAGATTAAGTATACTGATAACACATGAGTAATTGCTTACTTACAGGTGAATATTTCTCATACACTTCTTCGCTATTTACTATTTCACTTGTTTATCCCTTATTGCTAAATAATAATATTAATGAAAAAAATTATACATTTTCATTTCATCAGTTTGACCCGCATTCATGTCACAATGGCAGTAACAGTAGTAGCATGAATAGTAAATGTAGCAGTGATATTAGCTGAGGTACCAATAATGATTCTAGTTATCTTATTTATTTATTTTTTATCAAACTCCGTACAGATGATTAGTCTCTACCCGGAGAAATCGTGGCAGTGATTTTCAATTCACGTTCACATTTGCATATCTGTTTAAACTAAACACTGGTCATGGTTGTCACGACATTATTTTAAGGTTGATACAACTGATTAACTTTCAGTGATGAATATTATTGTTTGTTTGTCTACTGTTTGAGTTTATTTCTCTCTCTCTCTCTCTACTTTACCTCTTCCTTAGGTTTTTACTTTCTGTGTTAACACTGAAAGCATATGAAGATCTTTTCGATTAATTTAATATAATGATGATACGGGTTTTCAATACTCACTTTTCAGCAGCAAAAAAATATATGTATATACATATACATATGTACGATTTCTGTCACTAGAGCCATAGATATAAATTTTTTTCGAGAACAGGGGGGGATGTAAAGTATGTACATGAGTGTGAGTATTCTACATGTTTCCATATATGCTTCTGTGACTGAACTATCCATATGTCGAAGCTTAGAAACAACACATCTGTCATAATATTAAGCTGCTGAAAAACCTATGACCTTTGAATATATACTGTTCATTCTATTTTTTTAAATTTATTTAAAAAACCATTGTTAAAACGTTTTCGATATTTTACTGATGAAAACTTTCATTTTATGCCTATGATGAACTGTCTTTTGCTTATAGCAGCTGAATATATATAAGCATGCATCTTATCATCAACATGAATACTTTTTAACACGTGGCATGTCATTATGATTACTATTCGTTAGTGGACAATTACTTTATCGAATATTTCACTTTCTGTCTAGTTCTGTATACTGAAATAACACACATTAGCCATGACTTCTTTACTCACCTGACTAATTTATTACTGAGTAAAACAACAGAATGCTGCATTTATTTGTTTTCTAACTAACAGTGAAAAAGCGTTAATTAGCTGTAAAAATTTATCATATGAAGGTAGGCGACTTAAGCATTATACATTAAAAACTAGTAACAGAATCATTTGGCGTTGAAACAAGTTTTCGCTAGACAATTAGACTGTTTGGAAATGACCACTTTTTGGCTATGTGGGCTTTTTAGCGAATGCTACAAAACGAAAATATTTTCTACTTGGCCTTATTATGAGGGAGAATGCCAGGATATATATAGAGATCACAATGTATACAACACTTCCGGGAACTAGAATTGGTTTTAAGAAACATTAAGAGTGATACGTAATTCGAATAGATTTTCATGATCAGTCAAGACAATCGCGGCCTCCTTCGTTTGCAGAGAAAAAACTGAAGTCCCCTGAGTACACTACATTCCCTCAAAACAAATAAGTTTCTCGTTGATCTCCTTCAGAATAAAGTTTTCACACTTTGTGGTGCAAATCTGTTGTTTTTGTTTTGTCAGAGATGGTGAAAGAAACCGGCTGTATGAAGCAGTATAGTAATTGATGCCTTCTTGATAAACGAGAAGGTCCGTTTAATTATTCTCGAAAAGTCATGCGGTTGTTAACACTGCCACAGTGTGTTATACGGAATAAGCTTGTCCATTACGGGATGTATTGTCTCGCGTAACAGTTTTTTTAATTTACACTGATCTGAGTTGTGTTTCCATGTAAAAACTAGGTAAATTGTACTCATATATTGGGTGGTAGAATAAGGTTTGAATTTAGTAACCATGTATTAGTTAACATTATTATCGTCGTCATTATTATTATTACTACTACTACTACTACCGTGATTATTTCTTCTTGTCATTCCGAGTGGAACATATGGCTTTAGTATCATGGCTCCATTGTTTTTTGTCCTCCGCCATTGCTTTAATATAAATCCCAAACAGCCAGCGGGCTTTCATTCCCTCTTCAAATAATCTTCATATCACTCTCTGTTTCATATCCAATGTATCGCCTCCTATTCGGGTTCCACTTGGCTGCCTGCTATATGATATTATTAAAAGTTATCCTCATAGTATGCCCAATCTATCTCCACTTCACTCTGCATATTTGTCGGGAAATAGTTTGTCGGCTGATTTACGGCTCGCCAGAGCTCCTTGTCAGTAATATATCACCGGCATTACATTTCTTTGACAATCACTAACAGATACTATTGCATATTCGAATCTTAACTAATGCTTGTCGTCGGCGAAATTAATATAAACCTTCCCATAAGACATACAGAAATTGCGCATTATCTTGATTATCAGAACGTTGAATAGAATACAATTTATTTTTTAAATGCATACTATTATCGCCAGTGAATTTAAAGAAAATGCCTTTCATAATGCATAATATGCATTCTCTTCAATTTTCATCTCCTCCTCTTCTAGACTTTATTATCTCTGTTTACAAATCATGAGCTACCAACAACTAAAGAAATTTCTGAAGTCACATTTCAAGAATTGTTCAGTAAAGTGGATAATCACCTAAATCAATTACTTGCGAACAGAATCACTGAATCAAATTTAAAGAATCCAGTAGTCAGCTTCTCCATTGAATTATGGAGTACATCAGGCGATAACAATGAAAACAATAGCTCAGAACACTGTTCACTGGATAAAGACAGATATTTTGCCAATATTGGTGTGCATTACACTTCTGATCAACCTACTACAACTCATAACTATTTGTATAAGTGTTTGCAGGTGAGTATTTTCAGTTCATGGGACAATAATTCATTGTATTTTACATATAATTCACTGGGAACTTGTAAATCAAAGAAAAGAACAAGTGGTTGTTGCGTTTTATCATGCATACATATAGGTCTAGAATCACACTCACTAGAATAAGTATAAGCATCTTGAATTTGAACAAGATCAGAATCAGACTAGATAAATCCTATTTGTAAGCTGTTATTATTTTGTTTCAGATTATATTTGCTGAAAATAAATATAAGACCGATGGGAATTAAAACTTACAGATGGGTTATTTTGAACTGATGATTCATGTAAAAGTTTGATTACTTTTGTCACTAAACTTTTTCCATGTAACAAGCGCGTTACAAACAAGCAACTCACTTCTGACAATAAATAATTAACCGCCTTGTGTAAAACAGGCTGCTGAAGTGAATACAATGGTGTGTAGTGTCATGGTATATTTGGTGGAACGTCATCATTTTTTCGGTTATGCAGAAGGCAGTTATTTATAATATATAACTGTCTTGCTATGTGAAAATATTGCTATTATTATTACTTTTATTATTATTACCATTTCAGGATCCGAATAATGAAGCTCTATGTGAAACGATACAAAAATGTAGAGAAATTTTACTGTCTAAAACTAACCTATCATCGAAGGACACTCAAATAGAAATATCAGCTACATCTCCAGAGACTGTCAGTTCAACGCCAATATCATCCTGTGAAACGGTCTTACGAAATAAATCTATGTTACCAACCACTTCTGATATCACCGCCGCAAATGTCAACATGACACCATCACAAATACAATCGTTACATAAGATTATGGAGTGGCCATATTTAGTTGTCACTAATCATCCTGAATCGCTCAAGGGGTTGATTAACGAAACTGAATCCAACATATTAATACTACCCTGCCTTGTATCTGAGTTATCTAAGGCTTTGTTGGTAAGTAATTCTTCTGTGATTGAATTTCTCTGTGATATCAATATCACTGGTAAATTTAATGATTTAAAATGAAAAGAAAACCTGGTAAATACAACATTCTCTTGCATTTTATGCGACACTTCAGTTTTACACTGGGGTAACGGATATGACTGCTCAGGAGTCGTATTCTGTAATAGTTCTCCGTTTGTTAGTATTTAGATTAATTTGTATTAAACCTGAATGCTTGGACGCATGGTTTCGAAGATGTTCGAAAGTTAATATGACGTCATTTGGTTCATATTGGCTAGCATAAGAATCCAAGACACATATTTCGTCCTTTTCGGGACACTATCAACTGGGTATGAAGGTAAATCTTGCTGACAAGTTATAAATGGGACAAAATGTGTGTCCTGCATCTTTGTTTCTATCAGACATCATTAGTCAATTAAGACGCCGTTATTCATTTTATGCTATAGGCTGATATTAACCGCAAAACACATAAGTATAGATAATTACTCGTAAAGCATCATTGTGTGGATAAAAATGAAATTCACCAATAACCTGAAATTTTATTTACATAATTTAATAGTAATTTTAAATTCAGAATATGTACTTAAACTGACTAAACTCCTCTGGGTGACAATTTTACTTAAATATAAATAATTCTATCTCAGTTATGCAAGCCACATGCACTTAAATTTTTCAATTTACATTTCACATTTTCCATCCATTTTTTAAATCCTTGTGAAAAAGAAGATATATGTTTACTTATGCATGAAGACAGATGAGATTATTACTTTATATTATTAGTACTATAGTAGTTATCTTGAATACAGATGATATAATATTCTCTTAAGTATTTTTGTTATTTTGATAATTCAGACTATCTGTGTGTAAAGATGGTTTAATTACACATGACTGTATCAGAGTAATAATAATAATAGTAGTATTAATCGTAACAATGAGAGAACTATGGTTTTAATTTCCATGCTTCAATCCATAGTCGTTATATTTGGATATTTTCTCACGAATAGCTTTTACTTATTCTATATAGAAAAGTTCATTATAGCTCTGTACTTATAAGATACAATCACAGATACACAAGATATGCACATGAATATTTTCAATGTTAATCCTTACTACTAATGTTTAAAGTACTATTGTTTCTAACTGAAGACTGAATAAAGTACATTTTCAAAAATAATCAGAATAAACAAGTATGAGTAATGAAACATACCTTGAAATTACCACAACATCTGACGTAGTCTTGGTCTGATTTGTTGTAAGTGGTCCTGAGTGTCTATAGAATTCACAACTGCGAGTGCCATTCATTTTTCGGCGAACAGTGTGAGTACTACATTAAGTTGTTCAGGGTGGTATTAAAATATGTTATCAGTGAAAAATTTTTCACAGTTCATAAATACCAAACTTATTTGCGTTGGTAGCACAGTAGTTAGGACTCTCGCCGACCATGGTCCTGGGTTCGATCCCCTGCCGACGCACACCCGATATCTATGGTCGGCCTGCAGAATTTGGGCTACCGATATCCATGCTGAAAATTCCATACTTGTACTAAAAATACGGTGTGGCATCAAGCTGTAATCAAAATGAAAAAATAAAATAATAAAATACATAAAAAAAGAGTGTATCATATTATCAAGTTTCGGTTTGCAAAGAACTGACCGATTACAGGTTTGATCACTAGTTTCCATCAGTTACCTGGAGTTCCAGTGGGAAGTCATGACCTACAGGGTCCACCAAGTCAGATAAGAGGACACTTATTCGTCCCTGTCACTGACTGGCATTTGAGCAATATATATTTATATATCGTGATTGGAAGAAGTTGGAATCCATGAGCCACTGGATCATGTCCCAATGGCCGAATGATCTACAATCTTACATTTTATCAGGAAAGTCCTGTATTCAAACTCAAGAGGATGCTTGCTGATGAAGAGTCCCAAACTGGGACGAAATGATTGTCCAGTACTCCCAGGTTTTCTAGTGGTTCTCCGATTGGTGTCAACTTGTGATCAAACTTGTACTGCATTACTTTGACCCAACCAGTTTCCCGTACTGACCAAACAAAGAATAGTAATATCGAAGAACCATATAATTTTATTGGATATTGTAAGTTACAGGGAGTGGATGCATCTGCGTCAGTCAGTCTACATTGGTTTTTACCGTCCCGAGGAACCCAACTAGTCAGGAAGTCTACACGTTCCTACGTGGCTAGCTTAAACTAACCTTTTTGGATTTCATTGAGTGATGAGGTCGTGTTTTCGTTTGACCACCACTGGCTCTTTTCCTACCTGATTCATTCTGTGTCAGCTAACATTGCCCATTGTCGAGGAAGGCAATGGCTAAGCATACGTAGCACATGTCCTAACAATCTCAGTCAATGTAACTTTACAGCCTCGTCCACTGATTTGCCAGTTCTACAAATTACCATCACAATGTTTGAGAAAGTGTTAATTAGCTAGCTGATTAAAAGTAATTCTGATTAGAGGATAAAGTCAACTGAAGAAGTCCTATAAAGCACAGGTGACTGGAAGGTGTTTCATTTTTATTACCAGTCCACCATCAGTGCTTGCTTGTGACCTCAGATCTTGTGGTATATTATCATATACTTCATTTTACTTAGAAATAACAAATCAACGAATTGTTTTTACGCATAGCCGTATTTTAAGCTTTTCTACCACTTTGCAGATTATGTGAGTGAAATTTTGTATGATGAGTATACCTTTACACATAACTTTTATTTGTTTGCATGCACCACTGTGGTTTACTCAAATTCACTACACTTAACACCCTAAAATTATTTTACTAACTTCCCATGAAAAACAGCTAAAAAAAATAAGGGTTAGGTTGATTAAAATCAGTGATTAATGACTGCCTTTTCACTGTTGTTGATATATGTATAAAATTTTGTTAATTGTTAGTATTACCATGTAGATGTTAGTAATAGAAAGAATAAAAGCAAATAAATATTTATTTATTGAAAATGATCTTATCACAAGTATATTTATGCATTTATTTCTCTAATGAAGGCTGGATTAAATACGGATATGATTAGAGATCTAGTTGTCAACTTACTAAAGGTATATCGTCAAAAATTCAAGAAATATGAAACGGAAACTTTGGCTTTAAATTCCAGTGTTCAAGAAATGAAAAAATCGCACTGTTGTAAAGCAGTATATGACTTGTTAAAATGGTACATACATCAGTTTTTGAATGATCGGGGTGACTGTGGTGGTTGTGAAAGTCAAGATGAAGGTGAATGTGATTCCGCTACAATTAAAACCGATTTGAAAACAATCGAAGGGATTATTTCAGTCTTAGAAGTAAGTTCGCTATCAAATGTGTCATTTTTTTAAATTTGTGCATATATTATGCGACACTTAAATATTCATTTGATAGCATGCATTACAAGAATGTTCCGATAAAAAGCATGCCTACAAAGACATCAGTAGTCAGAATGACTACATGATTTTGTCTAAACTCGAATTCATGATTAAAGAACTGAAAGTGTTCAGTTAGACGGTGGAAACACTTTCATGAAGTGAACAAAGAATACACAGATTTCACTTTAATAAAGTCAGCTGCCTTATTTTCTTATTGGTTATATCATATTAACTCGTCAAACACCTTTCTTGACCTCACTAAGTAAAACAATGTGAAATGGATGACATCGGAGACCACTGTTTATTCCACAGAGATCTTACCAGCATTATAAGTGGTTTTCTGAATTTGAACAAATGAATGTATATACATATGGTCAATCACATAAGGCAAGACTATAGCAAAAAAGCTAACAGGTAAATAGTTTCGCTTTCTTCAAGATCGATAATTTCATCTGGTGTTTGGTAAACATTACTTTTGAATGCAACTCAATCATTTAAAGAGCGTATATCAATCTTACTACATTATTCTCAATTCTAACTAAAATAAAGTTCTTACTTAGATTTGCTGAATGGAAAGGCCACTATATGAAACAGTAATTTTAAGTGAAAAGATGGACTGTCGGGAAAACCACAAACACTATTTTCATACTAATAACTAAAGATGAAATCACCTGAAAAATATTTAGATAAACTATTCTAACTTAAAATCATAGCAGTGAATAATTTCGCTTAGTTTAGGCCGGTGTAATGAATTTATTCATTCATATAGACTGAATAAGAAGTTATAACAGTGTTGGGATGCTGTACAGTGCTGTAGAGTTAGCGTTAACTCAAATGAAAGAAAACATTCCACAAGTAGATGCTCTGGAAATCACAGGAAACTGAGTTTCATCTGATTAACTGAATGACAACGCAATCTCTGAGATAAACGATTGTTTTTGGCTAGATTTGAATTTGAAGTTGCATTTGTAACGAGATCTACCTCCACATAGGTTCATGTTTAGCCCTTCTATCAAAGTAAGATACAGAAACACTACTTTATTAGTAGTAGAAAACTCGTGGATGCTAGACTACTTTACGCTTGCCTTATGCTGCCGGGGTAGTCAGGTACATCTCCAGTTCATTCAGATGTTTATTATAGCACACCTATTCCCTTCTTATGGAAGAATTGTGCCCATTTTATTTTGTGTATACTAATTTTTTCACCTTTTACCTCAATTAATCAATTGTTTCACTAATTATTATATTTTAAACACTTAATAGACAATTGGACAGACTTTGGAATTTATTCATAAGAAAGATTTAGTCTTAACTGGTTCAATGATTCAACCGATTTTGTCAAACTTATGCGATATACGTCTTGCAAATGAATCATCAAATTCAACTGCTGTTGAAGAACTTAAATCGAAAGTTGTATCTTCTTTGATGAATTCATTCCCAAATAACGGTCAGGTCTATGAAACCCTATGGATAGCTAGTCTTTTGGACCCACGTTTTAAAAGCCAAGTACAAGAAAAGCAACCATCTGTTATCAAATTGTTAAAAACAAAGGCAAGTTATCTTGTGTGAATTTAAAATGCAGAATTGTTGTTGTATTTGTTGCCGATTATCCGAGTGAAGAATATTTTTATTAGCTACTATTAATAGACTGAAGGTGTCTACTTGCAAGGTTGATGTAATTTACTTTAGTAAAAACATGCTAGCGTGGATTAAATTAGGCATCAACTTCCCCAAACAAAAAAATCCTTTAGGTTTTCAGTGATTTATGCAGCAAGATGCAAACTGAGTGCACTTTTTTTGCCTTTAAGTTCCTATTGGAACATAGGGCTTCAAGCTAGAGGCTTGGAGTTTTGATAGCATTGGTGTTTATTTTTACAGGATGGGTTTGCTAGACTCATGCCCAACCTCCTCTCTTTACCAGTCTTAGCGAGGTAAAGCAGTACGTCGGCCGGGGATTGAACCCCGAACCACCTGCGTGATTGGCAAGCATTCTACTGCTGTGCCACTGACTCACAACTGAGTGCACTGAGAGCTTTTAATTAATTCTTGAATAATTATTCTGGTTGTAGAAATTTTGAATGGTCAACTGATGTCAATCACAACTGCTTCATTCTCAAATTATATGAATCTCTTTTGTAATTCACTCATCTTATTACAAAATTTAATGAGTATTGTAAATTCTTATAATTCGGTAATTATTCTTAAAAGCACAGTTGGCTAAACAGTAGAATTAGTTCAGCTCAGTTCACTAGAAACCTGCTAATAAAATACATCGGCTTTCTCAAGCAGTCATGATTAATTTACTACATCGTCTGTTTCAGATGTTGTAGTTAAGACTTCTATATATTCTCTGTATTAATTAAAATGAAAACAAATGACTGATTTACTGAAATGAACCAAGATTTATTTATTTGTAAAAACCTCTTAACTCCCTTTTAAAGTAGTCTGTCAATATATCTCACAACATCAGATGTGATGATTTTGGTAAAGAAAAATACTAATATAAATAGTAATGATAGTTTATTTGCAGTACAGCATATCTTACAGCTGAATGTTATTCACATATGTGTTCATTTGAACAAATCATTATCAATATTTGATAAATAAATTCTAAAGACATGGAGTGGACATAATTTATAGTGAAGGAAAGTGTAGGTAATCACCATTCGAACACATATTCCTCCGAAAAAGTTAACCACAAATCATTGCATAGCTCACAATGATTCCTTAATTATTGTTAAGATAATAATAGTAATAAATACTAGTACATGATGTGAATAGTTGGAAAATACCCAAGTTAACCAGTAATAGTTTTGACGTAACCATAGTAGTACTTGTGGTATTATTACTATTTTATTTATTCTATTTTATTATAGCTTGACTTTACACAGTATTTCTGATACAAGTGTGGAATTTTCAGCATGTGATATCGGTAGCCCTAATTTAGCAGGCCGACCATTGATATCAGGTGGGCGTCGGCCGGGGATCGAACCCCGGACCATATGCATGGTCGGCGAGCGTCCTAACCGCTGTGCCACCGACTAGTATCATTATTAGAAGTTGTGTCAGTATTGTGAGCATTGACGTCGTCACTGTTCTTAATGATATGATTAGCGATGGTGATAATAATAACAGCATAGTAGTACAAAAATATCCAAGTAATATCTGTTGAAAAAAAGTTATAACAAACTAATCTTTTTTTTTTCTGTGTTAAATGTTTAGGTTGACTTTTTGTCAAATCAGTCCACGACAAACAGTAGTAACAATTCTACGTTAAATGCCGATGGTCAGTTGCAACATTTTCAACTGACATCTGATAATACACATACATCATCAGAACTGAATCCTTCTTCTAACAAGCATGGATTAGAAACTGTATTTGGTTTAAACTATTCATCACGTACATCATTATCTGAGGTGGACCGTTACATACGTGAAGATCCAATCGGTTTAGAAGAAGATCCCTATTTATGGTGGAGAACAAAGTCAGCTAACTATCCAAATTTATGTTTATTGGCAATGTATTATTTAGCTATCCCGTTAACATGTATTTCACCAGAAAGATTGAAACCAATGACAAACAGTGGAAATGTTGGAACGACTGGTCAATACGTTCCAGATATCAATTTAAATCTACTGACAACTATTTATGAAGCTGAGAACAGGGAGAATTTCCCTTCTTCGGCATTGATGCTATTAGACCTACCAAATACTACTGACATGTTTGGCCAAGAGCGTTTAAGCATTAAAACAGAAAATCAAATCATGTATAATTATTTGTGGCATAACTGGCATTTGACAAAATTTGTTTAACTCTTCGCTTGTTTTCGTTTTGTTATTTTATTTGTGAAGACAGTGTACTGTATCATTTTGGCAAAGTCTAATGATTCTTTTATCTCTTTGCTGAGAAAAAAAATTCAAACCTATTTCTGTTTGCTTGTTCTCCCTACTTTTTATTTACCCCTGTGATATGTAAATTTGATCCCATGAATTATGAACTCGTTGTCTTTAATTTCTTCTTCTTCTTCCTCTTCTAGCATGAATAAGGACTGTAAATATGTACACGTTTGCTAATAGCTTGATCTACATCCGTAAACATAATTTTTCTTCTTTGATTGATAACCGATAAATATTATCACAATAATTGTATGCATTCCATTTCGGCAGCTTTTGTCTGGGTATTCCACTTTGCAATTTATTCAACCTGTTTGTTAATTAACCAATTGTTCACAAGGATTTATCACTGACTAAACTGAAATGTGGTCAACAGTTTTAAAATGATCAGTTAAAAGTGGACAACAGATTATCATTAGAGAAGAGTATTTCTTTTACTCATTACGGTTTTACCAAAATAACACTTTTGTTCATTTGATAATAAGAGGCAGTGCATAAGAATATCTATCTATCTATGGGAAATGATTTGCTCAGATGTTTTACTTCAAAAAGTAGAAATTTAAGTGAATATCACTCTTTTCTTTCTAAATACACTGACAGACGTGCAAATTTACCAGCAGAAATAAAATTCTCCAAATTCTGTTCCTTCACATATCTACTCACATATAAATCTGTGTGAGAAACTTACTATTGCAATTAGTGCTCTTCTCTGTCTCTTACACTTCGCATACAATCCACACGTACTATTTCCTTTTACACCTTATCAACATTGAATGTTTTTGTTGTTGTTCTGTTCTATCTTAAACTTGTACAGTTACCTCACTGTGCATATCGACAGTAGGTCATTTAGAAAATGCGGAAACGATGTTTTATATGTGTCAAATCTTCGACATCGTTCTTTATTATAATTATTTTTCTTCATTTTTAATTTGTGTACTGCAGTGTTTTATTATTAAAGATGAATAAAAATTTTCATAAATAATATTATTGTTGTTTTTGTACAAAAGATAAATAATCGGTAGGGGGCAGAAGAAAGGCACCGTGATGGCGAGCCACCCACCATGATGGCTACATTGCAAACTCGACTGATGGAATTCGGTCTGCAGCAAAGATAGGACTAGACACATTACACTAGTTACTAACTAGTATCTGATAAAAAAACACACACCAAAAAAGCATATATGTAGGAAATATCCTCGAGGAAATAGGTTCGGTGAAAATGAAATCAGTTAAGTTACTAACCCTGTTTATCTGGCCCCACGATTCTTTATAGTCTCTCATCTTCTCACACAATCTTCTCCATTTAGCCCTCGAAGCGATGCACAACCTGTCGTTCCCTATTCGGGTTCCGCTGGAGTGATGGCCTAGCGCGTGATGTCACTTAAGGTTTCTTCAATGTGTCTGATCCATCTCCACTTTATTCGGAATATTTGTTCAGCAACAGGTTCTTAATTGGTTCTTTCCAGAGTTTCTCGTCGTCATTCTTTTTGACCATTTGATGTTCGATATGAAGCGTAGTAGGCAGGGGCTGATAAAATTCTGAAGTAGCCTGTTGGAAATGCTCTTCGTGATGCGCAGTAGAAGTTGCTCACCCACATAGAAGAACTTACTGACTTGATATTGGTGTTGGAAATTCGAATTTTGTTGTTTATGTTGAGTTGATGTAGAAGATTTCCAAACTGATTTCACAGTGATGTAGGTCTGCTTCGATGCTTCCTAGATAAGTAAAGGAAGTGACCTCCTTCAAATTCCTTCCGTTAACAGAGATTGGTGCTTGTTGATGGTTGATTATCTTCGTCACCTCCGTCATCACTAATGAATTAGGTTGTTTTTACTCGAAGGGATAAGTGTAGTACATTTTTAGCGGAAACTTAACGACAAACTAGCTTAACTACATGGTCAGCTGTTTTTTTTTGTGTTACACTTTGCATAACCAAAAAATAAAGATTTTCGTTTTGTAAGTTATGTCAAATCTGCTGTGGCTTGATACAGTTTACCTTTATTCATTGCACAAAAAGACCTTCCGATAATTGAAATGCACCCAAATCGCAGTTCACAAAAATCTCTGGTGCTGAATAATACTACTTTGATGTTTTTGGAAAGCGCGCTTCCAATTTTAAAGTGTTAAGCCTTATCATAGTTGTGTTATTTACCATTTCAAATCCATCTGACTATATTTCATTATGGGTAAATTTTGTTTTGATAAAGTCTCACAGTGTTATACAGTAATGTTTACTGATGACGTTTCGAGCACAATTTATTGCTCATAATCATATTTCAGGTTTATGATGGTTGGTAAATACTATTCTTAGTCAGTGACTTGCTCTATTGTGACAGTGTTCAAAAAAGAGAATCTCCAGTTGAACTGCATACTTTATCGTCTAATTGGCGAACCGCTGCTGTCATGTAAAGTCTTTGTCAATATCTACTGCAATAGGATTAACCCTTATTCCAACGAAATGAGAAGAAAATTCACCTCAGCACACCTTTTTCTGTATAAAATCAAGGTCTCCTGGCTTGATGACACATCCATATTCTCGAAATCGCTCGTATTTCCCGCAGTTTTCATAGTCGAGTGACTTCATTTAAAGAACTATTGAAAACAAAGGGCACTGAGGCAACTATTACATCCAGATTTTGGACTTTATAAGAGTCCACACACATGAATATATTTATGATTTATTCCAGGACTATCAGGTCTTGTGTTAATCCATCACTCACTTCTATTTGTTGTTCAACAAGTGATTGAATCTGAAGTGAATTCTCAAAATTTTATCCGGAGACAGTGTTCAGCACGTCTAATCACGCTGTTCACCAGTGGCAAAGAAAAAAATTGTGCCTAAATTAGGAGTTTAGACAAACACATCATTATATTCTGACCCAATGATAAAACAACCAGACAGTTGTCAGTTCGATCCCAAATGGATCTGTAGACAAACAACTGAAGAATCCAAAAGTCAAGACTAAATAACTCTTCAGTCCTTCTTGTTTTCATTCAGCTCTTTGGAAACACAAATTTATAATGAAAGCAGTTTTGATATCCGTCAGTTCGTTGAAATTACACCACTATATTTTGTCTACCTCAAAGTGCCTAAGTCAGAGGCTGCATCAACAGACCATTCATTTCACAAATGATTCCTTATAGAACCGGCTAATGAGCGTTAAACGGCATTCTGGTGGTAGTGAGTACAGCTTACAAATTGCTGGTACTAATACAATTCTGCCGAATTTCCTGTCTTTTACCATATATCCACTGTAGATGTATCCCTGTCAAATAAGGACTGACTACCTGCACTGTGAGAACGAATCAGTTGTTTTATGCACTTACAATTCATGTCTCAGAGTAAGAAAAATACATTCTACATTACGACATCCGTTTAAAATACATTTCAGGTGCTCAGGAGTTAGTCATACTTATAATATTTTTTGTTGATATGAAATTCTTATCATAATTAACATCTCTACTCGGAGAAACTTTACTCGTAAATAGTGGGGCTATCCAAAAGAAGTTTTGAATGATTATGGATAGACGAAAAAAGTAGTATGGTTGTACTCGTAGGTGATGGAATATAAGGATGATTTGTGATTAAATGACTTCTGCTCCCAGTGACTTAACCTGGTGACCTTACTGTAGCGATTAGCCTTTCTAACCCACTGGTCGCAGCTGATTTATATTCATCATCTACCACGGAATACCAACCATTTCATAAAAACACAAGTCTTGAAGGCCGTTAGTGAAATCCAATGGGGAAAGCAGTAGGACGAGGTGGAATCCTCTCAGAGGCAATAAAAATGAACCTACATATCTCAGCTGACATGCTCACACCACTAATACAGAAGGCATAGAGGTAGGGAAAGTATATATCTGATGGTTGAAAGAAGAGCTTCAGTGCCAAACTAAGGTGACTTAAGCTTATACAAGAACTGGCCCAGAATCATGCTTTTGTTCTCCTAAACAAAATATTAAGTTGAATCATACTGGGGAGGCTGAAAGATGCTCTAGACGAAGGAATTTGACCGAAACAGACTGGAATTATTCAAGTATTAAATTGCAGCAATACATATCGTCATCACAATAGGACAAGGCATAGAATGACAGTCATATATCCATCTGAAATTCCTCGACTTTGAAAAGGCTTTCAACAGTGTTGACTGCGAAGTGACTTGGTAACTACTGCAACCCCATGGAGTGCAGTACCCCAAACCCTCATCAACATCATTCACCAACTATGTGATACTGATGATACATGCGAAGTTATTTTACAACAGAGAGTTCATCGAAACGTTTGAAGGAAATACAAAAGTAATACAAGGCTATCTACTACCACCAATCATTCTCGTAATTGTGGAGAAATGGCTCATGCGACGCCAGTAAGTGGGGAGTGAGAAGATGAGCACACATTTAACCGACAAAGAAACCCTAGGATATCTGAATTTCACAAATAATTTACGTATCGTGTCAGTAAAAGCAATAGAAGAGACAGTTAAGTCAGGTGATGAAGATGCGCAACCAACACCAATAAACACCATTCACAATCAACTGGAGAAAACTGAGTGTAGTAACTTCTTTCATTCACATGAATCGGTCAGCTTTCTCTACCTTGAGAGTGAAGTTCGAATGACCAACCGGCTGGAAAGGATAAGCAACAAGGAAATCTGGTAGCCAGTGAACCAGACAACAGTCGATTGCGCACTAAATATGCGGAAAAAATGCATAAGGGATGAAAATACACTGAGAAGACCATTTAATGACATCATATGCTAGTCATGGCGTTGCATGAAAGCCACAATTGGAAAGCGATGAGTTAAGTATGAGTGAGAGGATCATGTGAAAAGGAAAGGTAAGGTTATGGGCAATCATGGAGCCAGATGAAAGTGCAAATAATCTAGCGCAATGCAGACAGGTTGATGAATTCATGTCCCACTCGAAACACAAGAAATGAATAAAATAATAATTCAGAACATATTACTGAATTATTTGGTTTTGTAAGCAGTCATCTACAAGTCAGTGTGGGTTATACTTTTTGCTCAAAGGCTAAACTGTTTAGTAGCTTGAGACTTTTTTACACTAAGTCGAGGGATTTGCCGCAAAAAAAACAAAATAACAAGGGTGCTAAATCATAACAATTATATAAATCTTAAAGACTGCAAGCACGTGTGATCACTGGATACTGCTTGCTATCAGACCTATCAAGGTATAATTTAGCGTGCATATGTAATCGCTTCTCTGTGATTTCTCAGTAAGTTGGGTGCTACAGAGTTTCATCCCCAAGGTTGACTATCACGTGTCTCCGTTTGTGTGTTCCAATCCGTCGTTTCATTTCAATCTTAATATTTTAACAGTTTCATCGATTTTACATAACAGTCATAGTCTCATATATTTTCTTGTTCTAACGTTAATTAGTGATAATCTATGTGGTAATCTTGTTATCATTTATCTGCTAAAACCTGTATAAAAAATAAACTAGATTATTACGTAATTGCTGTCCTCTAACACACTGAATCATCATACATAGGATTTATGCATTCAATTCTTATTCATGATTTCATTTTACTACTACTACTACTACTACTACTACTACTACTACTACTACTGTTATCTAAATATTATATCAATCATTCAAGGCCTTTTGTGTGGGTTCAAGAATATTATGCATTTAAAGTTAACGTATTTTGCGTTGATGGAAAGAAGTATAATCAAATACCAACGTACCTATATTCATTTGATCGAGTTTCAGCTAATTGATCACATCCGCCTTAAAACTAGAAGTATTAAATGACAGAATCAGTGATTGCCAATATCATTTAATAGGACTATACACATGAATAATGTGAGTGACTAAATTTTAATTAAGTTTGTTAGGTTTACAGGTGTAAGCTACCTCTTTCCCGGCGGCCTGCTTAAAACTTGGGCTATCAAATACTTCCATCTCTTTGTTGCGTCTATTTTCTCTCTTTCTATTTGTTTTAATCGATTAAGATATAACCTCCAGTGGTATTATCTACTATTGTGTGTACTTAAAATGTTTACAAGCTTCTGATTCTCAAGGTCCTACTAAACTTAAGGAAAGGC